ATTTCTGTAAGAAAAACTGGAGGCTTCTGTAAGAAAAGAGATTTCTGTCAGAAAACAGAAGATTTCTGTCAGAAGAGAGGAGATTTCTGTCAGAAAACAGAAGATTTCTGTCAGAAGAGAGGAGATTTCTCTCAGAATACAGGAGATTCTGTCAGAAAGAGGAGATTTCTGTCAAAATAGAGGAGATTTCTGTCAGAAAAGAGGAGATTTCTGTTAGAATAGTACAGATTTCTGTGAGAAAGAGGAGATTTCTGTGAGAAAAGCGAACATTTCTGTCAGAAAAGTGGAGATTTCAGTCAGAAAAGAGGAGATTTCTGTCAAAATAGAGGAGATTTCTGTCAGAAAAGAGGAGATTTCTGTTAGAATAGTACAGATTTCTGTGAGAAAGAGGAGATTTCTGTGAGAAAAGAGAACATTTCTGTCAGAAAAGTGGAGATTTCTGTCAAAAAGTAGTTTTCTGTGAGAAAAGAGGAGATTTCTGTCAGAAAAAAGGAGAATTCTGTCAGAAAAGTGGAGTTTTCAGTCAGAAAAGAGGAGATTTCTGTCAGAAAAGAAGAGATTTCTCTCAGAAAACTGGAGTTTTCTGTCAGAGAAGACATTTCTGAGAGAAAATAGGATATTTCTGTCATAAAAGAAAAGATTTCTGCCAAAAAGTGTAGATTTCTGTCAGAAAAAAGGAGAATTCTGTCAGTAGAGATTTCTCTGAGAAAAGATATTTCTGACAGAAAAGAGGAGATTTCTGTCAGAAAAGAGCTGATTTCTGTCAGAAAGAGTAGATTTCTGTCAGAATATAGGAGATTTCTGAGAGAAAAGCGGAAATTTCTGTAATAAAACGGGAGGTTTCTGTAAGAAAAGAGATTTCTGTCAGAAAAGAGGAGATATCTATCAGAAAAGAGCAGATTTCTGTCAGAAAAGTGGAGATTTCTGTCAGAAAGAGATTTGTGTCAGAAAAGAGGAGATTTCTGTCAGAAAGAGATTTGTGTCAGAAAAGAGGAGATTTCTGTAAAAATAAAGGAGATTCCTGTCAGAAAAGTGGAGATTTCTGTCAGAATAAATGAGATTTCCTTCAGGAAGGGGAGATTTCTGATAAAAAAAAAAAAGTGGAGATTTCTGTCAGAAAAGAGGATATTTATGTCAGAGAAGTGGAGATTTCTATCAGAAAAGAGATTTCTGCAGAAAAGTGGAGATTTCTGTCATAATAAAGGAGTTTTCTGTCAGAAAAGAAGAGATTTCTATCAGAAAAGAGGAGATTTCTGTAAGAATAAAGGAGATTTCTCACTGAGAAGTGGAGATTTCTGTCAGAAAAGAGGAGATTTCTGTCAGAAAAGAGGAGATTTCTTTCAGAAAAGAGGAGATTTCTGACAGAAAAGTGGAGATTTTTGCCAGAAAAGAGGAGATTTCTGTCAGAATAGTGGAGATTTCTGTCAGGGCCTTTATGGCTCCTGCCTGTTATCCTAGCACTATGGGTGACCAAGGCAGGAGGATTGCTTTAGCCCAGGAGTTTGATGTTCCTGTTAGGTAGGATGACTCTATGGCACTCTAGCCTAGGTGACAAGGTAAGACTCTGTCTCAAAAAATAAATAAATAAATAAAGAGTCCCCAGCCACATGTGGTGGGCCTACAGTCCCAGCTAGTTGGAGGGCTGAGACACTTGAGGCCTGGAGTTCAAGACTGTAGTGCACTATGACTGCACCTGTGAATAGCTACTGCACTCCAACCTGGGCAACATGGCAAGACCCCATCTCAACTAATAAACAAACAAACAAACCCCAAAACACAAGAGCTCCCTTATCCCTTCTGCCATGTGAAGACAAACGAGATGACCATCTACGAGGAAGCAGCCCTCACCAGTCACCAGATATGCCAGCACCTTGGTCTTGGACTTCCAGCCTCCAGAGCTGTGAGAAATAAATTTCTGTTGTTTATACACTGCTCAGCCTAAGGCATTTTGTTATAGCAGCTTGAATGGACTAAGACAGCTCGCAGCTCCCCAGCAGGTCTGTCAGTTTGATCCTGTTTTCTCCAGGCAGCCCAGACTGTCCCTGAGCCAGGCCTATATGTCCAGTTGACACCAGGGGGCAGCAGATGCCCAACAATAAATCCCCAAGGCCTACTGGGTCAACTTTCCCTCCTTTCCACACCCACGTGCCTCTTCAGCAGAAGGCAGTTCACATCAGTCAACCAGGAATTTTATTTTTCATTTAACTTTAAAAGTGCTATAGTTTTTTCTTGGGAGGGCAAGATGGGAGAACATATATACTTTTCACTGAAAAACTTAGAAATGCATAAAAATAGAGCAAAGGGAAATTGCCAGAAAGGCAAGTGCCTGAGGAGGACAGAACGCAGGATGCCTGGCCACCCCGCACCACAAGGCAAGTCCTTCTGCTCCAGGAAAGGGCCCTGCTCCTCCCGCCCCGGCCCTGAGCCCCCTTTGACTCGGAGGAGCAAAGCCCTGACGACCCCACAGCTCCCGGCTGGGGCAGACGTGGGTGTGACCTTGAGTCAGGCCTCTTGGGCAATTTGGCTGAGTCCGGCTGGCCCGGCATAGCGTGGTGGGGTCATTGCAGATGGCCGTGGATGCATAGGTCACTCAGGGAGCTCGAGTGAGCGGCAGTTCGTCAGGCAGAGGGGTTGGGAAGGAGAAAAGAGTGAGGCAGACGCACGGGGGGAAAGGCATGGAAGTCTAAGAGCACAGGGTAAGCTGAGGAACACAAGAGTTTGAGCAGCTGAGACAGCCAGAGTGTGGTGAGGTCCCCCGTGGCCAAGGTGGAGGCCGGGCCTTTGGTCACTCACAGCTTTTGCCCCTGGGACCTGATGGTTTTGTTGCGGCAGTGTGTACAGCTAGCGTTACAGCTCTTGTTACAGCTTATTCATTTGACTGGGGAAAGAACCGAGCGGCACACGAAGAGTCGGAGAACAGCCTTTATTCTTCTACATCAGGATCAGCACACTTAGTGTTACAGCTCTCTTCGTGTCTTCCGATGTTCTCCCCATTCCTGCCCTTCTGCCCCTGCTTTTATACCTTTGGTAGGGCTCAAGAAGCGTCCAATCAACTACAAGCTTTAACATCGAATCAGCAACAAGCATTAACAGCCAATCAAAAACAGTGGGATTCAAAAATTACCCAATCTATTGAGGCTGTAACTTATAAAAAAAAAAAATTACCCAATCAGGATCATGCAAACAGCATGGCCAGAAACAGGCAGCCGTGAGTGGGCCTGCGGTCCCGCAGCACCTCTGGCCCGCGGAACTACAGGGAGGCAGCAAGCTGCCGGGATCCGGTGCCTGACATTTTCCGCATCAGTTTCAGCTGATCCCTCCCCTGTCCCTCCTCTCTGTGTCCCCCCTGAGCCTTGTGGAGCCCCTGGGCTGGACTACTGGCTCCCGTCCGGCTGTGGCTGGTGGTCAGGGCCTCCTCTGGCTCCCACCCAGCTCTGCAGAGGCGCAACTCAGCCCCCACCAACAGCCACGGCTCCTGCGGTGACACTCTCCCCTCCCCCACTCTGCTCTCCAGCATCCCCAGAGTCCTTCTGCTCCAGCCTCTCTGCCTCCCCTTTAGGAGGGAGCCCTCAACCGTGGCCCTGCAGACTTGCTTCCACGAGTGCCTTGGCGGGGGCGGGGCAGGCGGGTGAGAGGCTGAGGCGATGGGAGACGGGCACCCAGAGGGGCTAGGTAGGACATCAGAGAGGGGCCAGCTGGGCGCAGCCAGCAGCAGGGCAGGCTCTCCTCCCTTCCCCCTTTCGTGAGGACATGCTCTGTCCTGATCCCAGCCGCTGGCCAGGACCCTCCTGAGCATGTGCAATAGAGACATTGTCCACCCTGAGCCTGGAACCAGGGAGGGCCAGGCCTACCCACACAGGGTGGGTGTCCAATAAACATGACCCTCCTGCCGTCCCCAGGCTGAGGGCCAGACCAAGCGATGCTTATTTCTGTAAGGCATGGCCCTGGGCCCTGGCAGCTTGGGACCAGCTCCTTCCAGCTGGGACTGTGGCCCCCTGTCCTGGTGCTCCCAGTCAGCCTTTTCCAGAAGAATCTGGGTGGCTCAGCCACTTCTCCGTCAGCCAAGCACAAGCACCCAACGGCAGACAGCGTTGGCCTCCTGGGGCAGGTGTGGGGGGTATGGGGGCCCTGGGGTGGGGTGGGGAACATCATCAAGGTACCCTAAATCCACGCCCACTCCTAGGGCATAAGAAGGTTCAGGAGACTGGTCCAGACCCTGGTAACCACCCCCCTGCCTGGACAGACAGGGAGACTGAGGCTACAGGGGAGGCACCCAGAGGCCAAACCAGAAAGTCAAAGCAGAAAGCATCGCTCATGCAGCCCCGCGTTCGGCAGGAAGCACCTTTATGTGCAAATCTCCAGTGACCTGCAAACGTAGGTCCCCGTCCCCTCTTGGAGATGAGCCTGCTGGGGTCTGAGGTAGGAGTCACAGCCCAGGGCTGCACAACGGATGGACTGGCCCAGACAGGGCCTGGGAGGGCTGAAGGAGTCCTGGAAGATCCAGAGATGTCTTGGAGGAAGCTCATTCCAGAACTACTTCTGCTGAGAACAGACATCTTGCAGCTGCCACCTGGCTCCTGGCCGTCAGCTCCAGGGGTGCGTGAGCCAGGCAGGGGTCTGAGGCTCCCACCCACTATCTTGGCCCAGACTCCAGCCCAGAGAGAAGAGGCGGTCAGAAGCCCCTCAGGACTCAGAAGTTATAAAAGCTTCTGGTCTCGTGATTTCTCTAGTTATTTATTTATTGAGACAGGGTCTTGTTCTGTTGCCCAGGCTAGAGTGCAGTGGCATCATCATAGCTCACAGCAGCCTCCAACCCCTGGGCTCAAGAGATCCTCCTGCCTCAGCCCCCGGAGTAGCTGGGACTACAGGAATGTGCCACCACCCCCAGCTAATTTTTCTATTTTTTGTAGAGACAGAACCTCACGATTGCCCAGGCTGGTTTCAAACTCCTGGCCTCAAGCAATCCTCCCTCCTCAGCCTCCCAAAGTGCTGGGATTACAGGTATGAGCCACCATGCCTGGCCCTCCTTTTAATTTTCAATGTAGCCTGCAACGGCCCTGCAAGGAGGCAAACAAGGACAGTGGCCCTTCTGAGTGCCTGTGACCCTCCCCTCGGGGCTGGGGTGAGGCTCAGAGCAGAGGATCCAGGGTGGGGCTGCGTTCCCAGCCCTTGAGGGAGCACACGGGGCACGCAGTAGGCCAGGTAGGGTCAGCGCTGTGGGAGGCAGGCCTGGTGCACCCACGGGTGTCTGCGTCCTTCAAGGACTCGTCTGCCCGAGTGCGCACAGTGTGGCTGCGGGTTCCGAGGGAAGAGTGAGGGAGCCCCAGGGACAAGGGATGCAGCAAACATGGAGGTCTGAACGTCGGCACCGCTGGGCACTGCCCCGCCCGGCTCTGTGCAGCTGCTCGGGGCTGGGAGTCTCCTCTTCACCAGTGGCTTCCAAAGGTCCCGGGCCCCGATCTCCGGAGCCACGTGGCCACAGCTGACCTGCGGCATCCAGCCCAGTCTGGGCCGGCCTCCCGAACCTCTCTGCTCCCTGGGGTCACCCCCATGGCTGCACATGGCCCTGACGTCCACCCCACTGCCTGCGCCCTGAGCCTTGCCCACAGCCACACCCCAGGCCCCGCGATGCCGTCTCTAAACTTGCTCAACTTGCATTTCATGAGCCCTCAGATGGTTCCTTCTCATGTGTGTCTCGCTTGCACCCTCGACTCCGTGTCTGTGAGTCTGTGCCTTGTGCTCCCCGTCCCCATCCCACGGGGCCACCTGCCAGGTGTGGGCAGGTATGCTCCTTCACAGCTGTCCTGGGGGACGAGGACGCTCGGCTCGCTTCTTTGCTGGTCCGCCGGGCGATCAGCACGTCCTGCTGTCTGAGCCTCAGATGGCAGAAAATACCAGGGCAGCAGGATCGGATGCCGGTTCAAATTCGGGCTCCACAGTCACCTGCTGTGTCCTCTCCAAGGGGTGGCACGAGGGAGGACCAGACCAGCTGAGGTGCCCGTGTGGGGCCCACGGGACCCGAGGGACTTTGAGGGCCACTTCCCTACCCACATGGCAACTTCCTCTTGTGGTAGGGTTGTGGGTCGGCACAGACCCTGTGGGAGGGACAGGCACAGGACTCTCCTTCCAGAGGTTTCCTCCCAGCCCCGCGGGGATGGGGCCAACGCGGGGTCAGGCTGTCCATCACAGTCCCCACCCCCGCCCCGCTGCAGCCCTGTTGGAGCCCCTGAGTCAGTGTGGCCGGCGTGGTGCCATCTGCAGCCGCCTCTCTGTGCGGTGCAATCTAGGAATGCCTGCCTGTGTCACGGGCTCAGCCCTGATGTCATCTTTCCAAGAGAAAGATGTGTGGCCGCCCACAGACCTCATCCCCAAGCCCGTGGAGCTCTGCCCTGCGCCTGCTGACTTCAGCCCGCGGCTCCTGCCTTCTCCATCCCTGTCCTCCCAGCTGTGGTGACCTGGCCCTTAGACACAGATGTGCCGGCCCTCAGCCCTCCCTCCTGCGTGACCCTCTGTGGCTCAGCGTCACGTGGACATCGGCCACTCCCAGTCTGTCACCTGCGCCTCTGAAGCCCCAGAACTTCCTGTGACCCGCAGACCCTGCTGACCTGCTCCTCTGCTGTCTGGTCCCATCTCGGTGGCTGGGACAGTGACTCTAACTGCTCACTCACAGGCGAAGCTCACTTTGGTGGGGGGTGAGTCCATCAATCTCGCTCCTCCATCAGTAGGGTCCAAAGTCCAGGAAAGCAGGACCCTGACTGTTTTCCATCATCCCCTCTCCCGGCTGGGAACCTAGTAGGTGCTCAGTAGATATGGAATGAATGAGTGACTTCACTACGTCACCAGTCCTCTCAAGATCCCATGCCTGACTCTCTCTGGAACTTGCCTTCTTTACCTGTGCCCCTAAAACCCGTCCTTTCTGTGCCTGTCCTCTCCTGTGCCCTCCCCCCATCCCCACAGCCCAACTTGCCACCTGACATCTACCTGCCCTTTCAGCCCGGCCTGGGACACAGTGTCTCTCTGGTTTCCTGGGACCCCCAAGCAGGGGGAGGCTCTGAGCTCCCCATTCCAGGCCGGCCACGCCGTGGGAGCGTCTGTGGCAGTGTCTCCACACCAGATCGAAAGCCTCAGGGGCCAACGGGAGGGTCTGTTGACTAAGTGTCTGGCTGTGACGCATCATCTCCAGGGAAGAAAGTGACTTTCCATCCCAGAACCCGTCACAGCTCTCTGCCTCCCCGGCCACCAGCGTAGCTACAACCTCACGGCTCCTCTCCCACCCTCCGGCCTCTGGGTGCCGCTGACATAGATCCTGCTCTGTGTGGCATCTGCGTGTCATGCCCTGTCCCCTCCTCCTTCTGAGCGCTCCCGAGAAGGAGGTGAGCACAGGTCTCATGAAAAAGGTGGAGGAAGGGCTGGGATCCGGCCGCGTCATGTTCCGCCCCCAGCCTGGCTGCCTAGGAATGTTTCGCCAGGCTCAGAGGGACAGGGCTGGCCTCACGTGGGCGCCAGGTCCTGGCAGGGGATCCAAGGAGGTCTGCGGGACCAAGGTCTGGCCTCCGTGTGCAGCAGAACTCCCACTGCACGGGAAAGCTCGCCAGGGACATGGACTCAGACCACTGTGCTTGAGCCACGACCCCCCCTGTTCTGAGGGCCCACCCGCCTGTGCCCGGCAGAACGTTCTTGCTCCTATCCGATGCCGCTGGTCTAGGCCGAGTCAAACTCTGGGCCCAGAAACATCACACCCAGCGTGGGAGCTTCAGAGGCCTGAGCCTTTTGTAAGCAGGTGACAGCAATTAGGACTCACACCGATGTAGCCCATGTAAAACACCCTCCCTCTAAGACCCACATGCGGGTACAGGGGCATCTCGTCACCTGGCACACGCTCTCGCAAAGGGACACTGTGGGCCCACACTCCTGCGGCCACCAAGCTCCCAGCACAGGGTGGCCTGAGCCAGACCCTTGTGCAAGACGACCTCACGCTGTCTCCTCCAAACTCTACTGTGAAAAGCAAACACTTGACCAGGCCCCTCAAGAGCCCGTGGCTTTTTCAGACAACAACATCTACTTTCACAGAAAGGGCTCTGGAGCTCTCGGGGTTGGGCGCTGGGGCTGCGCCCGAAAGGAGGCCGGGGAGAGCCTGCTTGGGAAACCGGCGACCCCTGCACCTGGCCTGGGTGCAGCCACAGCCCCGAAGCTCCTGCTGCCGGCTCTGGGAAGGGGTCCAGTGCCCACCCCAGAGCCAGGACTCAAACTCGGGATCATGGCTGGCCCCAGCCCAGAGCCCGGACCCACCTCTGCCGCTGCTGAACGTGGCTCTAGTCCCACCGGCCGGGTGTGTATGTGGCTGTCATCCCTCTGGGTCTGTGGTGGGAGCCCAATCGAACTGTCACAGGGCTGTGACGTGTAGATGGACACTGCCTACGTGGGCAGCAGGCAGGTCTGTGACATCTCCCCTCGCACGCAGGTCTCCCACGGTGGCCTGAGAGGAAGGCTGGGCAGAGAAGGCGGCGGCTGCAACTGGAGTGCAGGGGTGGGGGGCACCGCCTGCTCACAGTTCCTCCTTGGGTCTCAGGAGGGAGGGGAGCAAAATCCAGTGTCTCCCAAGTACCCCCCGCCCCCAGCCATGCCGGGCCAGGAAGTCCAAGCTGTGCCCAGAGGCCACACAGAGGGCGGGCGGGGGCAGCCTGAGGCCACTTGCCCTCGCCCAGGGGAGGCCCAGAGAGCCTGGCAGGAGGCGGCACCTGGGCTGTTTGTTCATGGAAAGGCTTATCGGTGAAAACCCCCAGTCTGACCACCTGGGGGAAAGGCTCCCCAGTACCAAGTGTGGCTGATAAGGGCCAGGAGATTCCACAGCCCAGGTAGTTCCCCCGCCCCCCTGGCGTTTTGTGGTCACCATTAATCATTTCCTCTGCATATAAAAGCTCTTCTGCCAGTGAGCCCAGTACTCAGAGAGAAAGGCTAAAGTTCTTGGGAGGATGTGGCTGCAGAACTTGCTGCTCCTGGTCACCGTGGTCGGCAGCCTCTCTGCACCCACCCGCCTGCCCAGCACGGTCACCCGGCCCTGGCGGCACGTGAATGCCATCAAGGAGGCCCTGAGCCTCCTGAGCCAGAGCAACGACACGGAGGCCGAGATGGTGAGTAGGGAGCCTGGCCCTGCGTGGCCACCTGCTGTCCCCGGGCTGGCCCTGCCTGTCAGCTCCATAATGAGACATTTCCTTTCCTACAGGGTGAAGCAGAAGTCGTCTCGGAGATGTTCGACCCCCAGGTAAGATGCTCCCCTCTGACCCAGCTTCCAGGAGCCTCTGCCCATTTCAGATGCCTGCATGGGGTGTCCACTCCCTCCTCAGCGGCTGCCAGGGGATAGGGGCAGTGATAGGGCACTGCAGAGGCCGCTGGCCTTGCCCTGTGGCCGTCCCGTGAGCAGCCGAGGGCAGATGCCGCGTTTTAGGGCCAGCGGTCACCGGGGGGCCGGGGGTCAAGCAAGGGCTACTTCTGGGTCAGGGGCTGTGGTCACTGTGCCCTGGCCCCAGCCCCATGGGGACTCCAGATGGGCACAGAGGGGTCTCAGGACAACCCTCACGATGCCCTGCCCTGCCCCTTCTGCCTGGATGTGGGTGGGAGTGACGTCCTCCCAGGGCCAGGACCCTTTGGTGGCAACAGCCGAGGAGGGCATACTCATCCTGCTGAGGACGACAGACCCAGCCTCGGACTAATCGGAATTCGCCTGGGCCCCTCCCAAGCCCCACTCCTGAGGGTCGGGACGGGAGCAGGAGGGACAAAGGGTGTCCTGAGCCCAGGGAGGGCGCTTGGCACAGCTCACGACAGACGTGTCCCACAGGAGCCGACCTGCCTGCAGACCCGCCTGGAGCTGTACAAGCAGAGCCTCCACGGCAGCCTGGCCAGGCTCAGGGGCCCCCTGGCCATGATGGGCGACCACTACCGGCAGCACTGCCCCCCTACCCCGGTGAGCGCCAGGAGGACGGTCTTCGTCTGGGAGGGCGGGATGGGCTGAGGAGGGACTTCTGGCTGTGCCTGTTCAGGACCTAGAGTCCCCTTGTGAACAGAGTCCCGATCAGCCCACCAGGGAGGGGCAGCAGCTCCTCCTCCTTCCCTGGAGGGAGGCGGAGCGGGAGAAGCCTGACTCTGCAGCCCGCTGTGCTGTGCTGCTGCTGTCGTCTAGGGCCCTAACAAGGTCAGCGTGAGGCAAACCCAGGGAACTCACGGCCTGCGCAAGGCCCTGAGGAAGTGCTAGGGCCCAAGGGCCACCTCCTGGCAGGATTTTCCTTGGCTCTAGGTGGGGTACTGGGTGGAAGCCAGGGCGGGGCTGCGCCTGGAAGGGACAGGCTGTGTGCTCCTTCCTGCAGGGGGAAGAGCAAGGTCTGTGGCTCCTGCTCCTCCTCGTGAGGGGAGGTGGCCTCGGCCCAGCCGCTCCGCCCTGGCCAGGTCCCACCCTCAGACCACCAGTCTCGGGCTGGCACTTTGTCAGGCCCGTGGCCCGGCCACGCTGGCAGAGCTGTGCTCCGCTTGGGCAACACCTGGGTGGCAACAATGTCACCTGACTGAGGGCAGCAGCCAGCCCAGAGTGGCCTCCTGGTCCCTGAGGTCCAAGAGGCAGGACAGAGACATGCAGGTGCCTGCCCCGTGTCACCCATTTGCCTGGACTCAAGTGTTTTTTCTTTTTTTTTTTAAAGGAAACTTCCTGTGAAACCCAGATTATCACCTTCAAAAGTTTCAAAAAGAACCTTAAGGACTTTCTGTTTGTTGTCCCCTTTGACTGCTGGAAGCCCGTCCAGCTGTGAGGCAGGCTGGGCCGGGTCACACACACTGCTGCTCCCTCTCGGAACGAGCCGGAAACTCAGTGTCTTCATGCCACAGGGACCCAGGGGTGCCCCAGCCACGACGGGGGTGGCACGGACCCTGACAACGGGCACGGAACAGAGAAGGGGGAGGTTTTATCCTGGCAGAGATCAGTGATATTTATTTATATATTTATATTTTTAAAATATTTATTTATTTATTTATTTAAGCTCAGACTCCATATTTATTCAAGATGTTTTACTATAATAATAAATTATTAAAAGTCTGCTTTTATTTCTGAAGTTTTCTAGTTTATTTTCAAGCATAAACAGATGCTGGTGGCGTCCCAGCTGGTGGGGTCCCAGCTTCCCAAGGGGCTTCGGGAAGGGAGGAAACAGGGAGGTCAGGGAGGGGCCGGGGCCTGCAGGGTTGGGGCTGTCCGGGGCTGTGGAGCAGAGGGGGGGTGACAGCCCAGCCCACGGGCAGCCTCTGCACACCTGGGTGTGTCCAGAATGGGCAGGGGATCCCACCCCAGTGGGCAGCAGGCAGAGCTTGCCCTGGAGAAGGGGCATTGTCCTTCCTGGGGAGGTCTGGGGGGCCGTCACTGGCAGAACTCGCCCTAGCATCAGGCATGACACCGGTGCCCCTCAGGGCCTAACCCTGCGCTGGGTGCTGGCCCCTCACACTAGGGGCTGCAGCCATGACTCAGGTCGATCAGCAAACCCACTGCTCAAGGAAAACAACCAAACCACAGGGGCCAGAGCTCAGCATATTTACCAAACTTTCCCCAAAATGGGTGATCTTAATCTCTGAGAGTCAGAATGTAAATTCATCACTTGCTGGTATGTGGCTCTGGTGTAGCATTTTTCGGAACTGGTTTTTATTTTCACATGAAGTTTTGAATCCAACCAGGCCCTTTCCCCTCAAGTCCAAGAAAGAGAGCAGCCATCCTCCTGCTCCTCAGATCGACAACGGAGGTGAAGGCCTTGCTCCTGAACCTGCCCCTCGGTGTCCCCTCTGGGCGTGTGGCATGTCCCCATGTCTTGGGTGGCCATGGGGCAGCCTCGCCTTGGCAGGTGGCCTGGAAGCTGGTCTGTGCAGCTTTGCCCACCTGGTGTCCTCCTCGGCCATGTCCCCGCCCAACTTGCCCTCCCTGTGGCCACCAGCTCCCAAGGATGGCCCAGTCCTGGCCACAGACCTGCCCCACACTCAGGCAGAAAGGTCACGACTTCAGATCTGATTACAAATAAGAAGTCCCAGACTGAGCCTGAATTTTGGCAAAGACCAGAATCCATCACGCTGTTGTCACTGAAAATGCACGAGAAGCACATCTCGCCGGCGATAAGGTGCTCTTGTCTTCCCCGAGAGCAGCGATGACTGATAAGAGGTTTGGCGCTTCCTTCGCTCACATATATAGGTGCCCTGCACAGATGCTCCCGAGCCCAGGGCACAGGTCACTTAGAGCCCCTCAAGCGAGACCATGCACCTGCTGTGCGTGCTCCTGGCCTGTGTGCTCTGGGGGCTGCAGAGCCACTCTGCCCCGGTGAGGGTGGACATGGCGTCTCCTAATGACAACCACACGGCCATCTGCGCTGAGATCCAGCAGGAGCTGTCAGCCGACCACAACACGTACCAGGTGAGTCTGGTCTCGTCAGTGCTGTCTTGCTCTCGGTGGCCCTCTGCGTCTCTAATCAACTCCTCTCCCTTCCAGGGCTCCTTCAACAGGCCCCAGAACACCAGTGAGGTAAGGGGGACCTTTCAGATCACACTGAAACCGGGAGAGAGGGATCGCTCCAGTCAGGGCCAGGGAAGAGATCAGAGGAAGGAAACGAGTGAGAAATCTAGGAGAAAGCTTCAAGTTTAAGGATGGAGCCTCCAGTTCGGCTGACAGATGAACCGAGGCCGGGTCCTGGGCTTTGCAGGCTCTCTGGCCACCAGCCAAGCATAGGCCTGGGCCCAGGCAGAGACCAGACACCCACGGCATCCACTGCAAGGCCCACAGGTCTCTGGTGGGAGAATCAGGGAAGGGCCTGAGCTTGGGTCCAGGGCTCTGTCCGGCCAGGGTTACCAGGGATGGATGAGGATGAAGTTGGAGGATAGGGTTGGAGTCACCCGCCGGGCACAACCACGGCCCTCTGCCCCCATCCTGTTTCAGGAGCTCTGCTACGGGGAGTTCACGAAGAATTTCACCTCCACCCTGAAGGATCTTGTCACCAAATACGACAAGCAAGACCACCACATAAAGAAGATTTATAAGGACATGGAAGAACTCACCAGGATCTGCCCAAAGCTGAAAGTAAGTTGCTGTTCATTCTTCGTGGACCTGAGATGTCATCCCTCTGCACCACAGCCAGGGCCGGGGGTGGGGGTGGGGGAGGGCTCCTCATAGACCCCCCTTGCCACGTGCAAGGCCTCATGTGCTGCTCTTGGGCTATATGGGTAACTGTTTCCTGGGACTGTCTCCAGATCAGAAGTACACTCACTGGCATGGGATGGGGTGCAGAGTGGAGAGTCCTGGGTCCTGGGAGTTCTGTCTGTGTCTCCGCCAGACCCGGTCACAGGGTCAGGATGGGGCAGGTCTGGGACAGGTGGGAGTACGCTGGTCACCAACTCTGCCTGGGGAGGGGACTGGTAGCCACCCAAGCTTGCTCCCCTGTGCCCCATCCTTGGGCCTCCTCTGGATGGCTGGACCCACGAGGGGCCCGTGGTGGGGCGTGGGCAGCAGTTTAAGGGACACGTCTGGAGAAACGACTGAGCTGCTCCCCCTCTGCCCATGACTGCCACAGTCCGTGTGCGCCCACCCTGCTGTCGTCCTCCCGTCCCTGTGCTAGACTGCATGGGACTCGCCCCCTCCCCAGGGCTCTGGAGGCCTCAGGCTCTGGGCTCACCCTCCCCAAGACAGATGGCAGGGCGTCCGGAGCTGCCTCCTGGGACGGGGGGCTGACAAGACCCTTGTAGCGGGAAGGACAAGAGTTTGCTTTTACTTATTCATTTTGTTCTGTTAAGATGACTTAAACACGTTATTTCTCATTTAGCCAACAGACTCGCCCAAGAACTGCACTATCGAGCAAAGTGATTTCTCCAGGTTCAAGGAGGCCTTGGAGAGCGTGATCATATCCATAGAGGGATGGAAATCGTGTAAGAGGATCACACGAAGCCCCTGGGACCCCGTCCTCTCCCGGGGTTAGAGCTGCAGGAAAGGAGATCAGAGGAGCCTCGAAAAGAGTTAACTGCCGGTGGGGGGCGTTGCTGGCCCTGGGCCTGCAGACAAGGCAGTGCGTGGGTGACGGGGTGTGGTACCCAAGGACACATTTCTGTACCTGATACGTCTGCTACTTCAATAAAGCCCAGGGTGTGGAACGCTGGAGAGGGCCGTGGTGACATCCAGCCTTGCTGGGCCCCGGCAGACCGGAAGGGGTGGAGTGAGGTGATGGTGCCATCACCCGGCTCCTGACCTGGAGGCCCAGCGGTCTCTCTGGAGTGGGGACCCCACCTCACCTGACCCTCTGCTGCCTCTCCAGGTCCAGTGGGCCACAGTAGGGCCCCTCCCCTTGCTGTGCCCCCTTCTCCCTGCGTCCCTCAGACTCAGACCTCAGATCCTTTCCCAGAGCTCCAGCACCCAGCACCCGCCCATCCCCAGATGCAGGACTGAGGCTCAGAGCCACCCCCCCCCACTTTGCTCTCTGCTGTGGCTCCTGAGGGGCTCGATTCTGATCTACCCGCCCAGCCCCCAGGCCCAGTGTGGTGCCCAGAAGTGTCAGCCTGGCAAACGGCTTGGGCGCACGGGGGCTCTCAGGCTGCTCATGGATGACTGGGCACAGTGGGGGCCTGGACAGGAGGGACAGCGACATGTCTAAACTCTGGCTTCATTTGGACCAACAAAAAGCCATCTGCCCTCAGAGTAAAAGCCCTCCCCTGGCCGCAAAGCCCCTTCGCACACGCCCCCAAATCTCCGTGGCACGGCAGCCCCCGACTAGTAGCAGCCTCGTGCCCTGGACTCTGGGTTCGGGGCGAATCTGTGGGTGATCTGCATCCCACAGGGCAGCCAGACTGGGCTGCCAGGCCCTGACCCCTCCTCTACTCTAACCCTAATCCTGACCCTTCAAAGAGTTTGTTGGAGGTGACTGGGATTATCCCACAATCCCAATAGCTTCCTACAATCCAAACCCCGAACAGATAAAAACCTATTTGTTCTGGAATTTAAGTAGGTAACAAGCTGCAACCACGACTTGGCCCCGGCCAGACCTTCAGGGAGTCTGCATGGTCTGTCCATCGGCTGACCTTGCCCAGCGGGAAAGCTCTGGACTGTGCCTGTGGCCACACAGGCCAGCCTCAGTCTGCCTACCCTGTTCCTCGCCCCAGGGTTCCCAGGCCGCCCTGGGGGACATACCAGGCTGGAGGTCAGCAAATGTGCCTGAGCAAGGGTGACAACTATCTCGGAACACGGAGGGTGGCTCTGGCTCAGGGTCAAGTGCCAGGGGCTGGTGCAGGGCCAAGGCCATGGTGGTTTCCGCCCGGAGAAGCCCCTGGTCAGTCACCAGAGGCTGGGAGCTCTCATCCCCTGGGAGCACCACACGGGTGCTCAGGGCTCCCAGGGCCTCTGCGATGGCAGTGGAGTCTGTGGGTGCGTCACTGGGTGTGGCTGCTGGCATGTGCTGGCAGGAAGACCCTCATTCCACTGTCCCAGCCTCTTCTGAGCTGGCACAAGGTCCCCGACCTTGTGCTCCTGACAAAACCTGAGACACCTGATGGCAGAGAGTTGTGTGATTGCGCATGTGTCCTTCTTACCTTATCACCATGCTTAGTACAGCGAGGTGTGTGTGACACTGGCTTGCCACTAGCCTTTCCTGTGACCTTGGACAGGTCTCTGTCTCTCAGCCACAGAGTCCCCAAAGGTGTGGCGGACTCAGCCAGACCATAGCCTACGCTCAGGGTCTGTGTCAAGCTGAAGGGCCTTGGAGCATCTGGATCAACTCTAGGGAAACTGAGGCCAGAGAGGTTGCCAGGGAGCCTCTGAGGCCTGCTCTAGTGAACAGGGAGTTGGGAAGTTCACAGCTAAGATGGTGGCTGTGCCACGCCCAGGCTGCTCTCATCCCGACTTAACCTTTGGTCAAGGTCACCAAATAGCTGCTCACAGAGAAGCCCTGTTGTGTGGGCCACTTCAGTTTCCCATGGGCTCTTGTTCTCCCCCAAGATGGGATCACAGCTGGCCATGGTAATGAGGCTGGAGCTGGTAGGGAGGCTCCCAGGCAGGGCTGAACGCACAGCTCCCCAGAAGC